CATTTAAGTTTAGATTTGATCTACAACTGCCACAACCTTGATCAATAAAGTAGATTAAAGAATGTACACAATATGGTGTTGCCTATAGTAGAGGCTCTACCTGTAATAAATGAAATCAGAGGGAAAGAATAGAGAAGCATGATCAAGCTATATGGCAGCTTGCCACAAATTTTGGTGTTATTCAGTCTCAGTAATAATTATAGAAAAGAAGGTAGGTGACACTACAATCATGTTTTATTCATAATGGAAAAGAATGGAGTGGAATTATGAATGGTGTAAGAGGCAGTCATACCAAGGCTAGTTCTATTATTAATGCAACATGTGAAAGTGTTTCTATTTTGTAGAGAACAAGCAGAAAGAGTTTATATCATTTTAATAGTTGTTCTATCAAAGGATTTAAATGGAATTATTTCCACTTCCTATTCAAGAGCAAGTTGACCCATCACATTTTGAACTATTGACCATTTGGAGTTTGTCTATATTTCTGAGATGAGGTATTATGTACAGTATTTACATTAGTTGGACTATTGTCCTCATCTTTGTCGCCATATTTGTCACAACGTTTCGGCCATTATCACCAGCAATGGCGAATATATACATGGAATACTTTGAAGAAATGGCATTAGAGTCTATATCGCTAAAGCCAACTATATGGTTACGATGCGTAGATGACACTTTCATACTCTGGCCACATCAGGAAGAAGTCAGGTTCTTCTGGACCATGTGAACTCAATAAGACCTTCATACAGTTCACAATGGAGAAAGAGAGTAACAACTCACTCCCATTCCTGGATGTACTAATATCTCGAACAGAGAATGGGTTCAAGACATCCGTATACCGTAAACCAACATTCACCGGACAGTACCTCAATTTCAACTCCCACCATCCATACAGCGTAAAGAAAGGGATAATCCGATGCTTACAACATCGAGCAAAAAAGTCATAAGTGGCGATCCAGAGACGTTAGATAAGGAATTGGTCAGTATAAGTAGTACCCTACAACGCAACAACTACCCTGGGTACATGGCAGCAGCCCCAAAAACTGGGATAGGCGGGTACAAGAGGAGGAGGAGGAGGAGGACAACAAATACTCAGAAAACAGTCTGCCTGCCTTATGTGAAGGGGTTATCAGAGAAAATACAAAAGATCTGCGGTCCATATAACATCAGGACAACCTTCAAAAGCGTGACAACACTTTAGGTATCTCTCACGAGTGAGACCCCCATAGAGAGGAACATGACTAAAGACTGTGTATACGCCATCCCATGCAGCTGCGGAAAGGAATATAAAGGAGAGACAGGCCGCCCCCTCAAGGTAAGGCTTCAAGAACACCAGAAAGCTGTAACGCGAGGGGAAGTAGAAAAATCAGGCGTGGCTGACCACATATGGAGAGAGAAGGGAGATCACCGCCCCCCTGTGGGATCATGTTGAGATCATAGACAGGGAACACCATTGGAAAATTCGTAAACTTAAGGAATCAGCACATATGCTAGGCCACAAAAATCTCCTGAGCCGACCAAGCATAGAAATAAATACAATATGGGAACCAGTAATAAGGAGTGCCAGAGAAAAGCAATGATAACAAAGTTTGCAATATGAACTCTAGTAAAGACATGCAATGATAACAGCAAAAATTGCAATATGAGCACTGGTAAAAATGATGCTGAAAACATTAGGTTTATAATACTCAGAAGTTCATACCCAGATGTCCTCAAGGACACATGGCACAGTGGATAAAGGCGTTGGTTAGATCCAGTGACAGACCCAAAGAAGGTGAGTTCAATTCCTGGTTAAGGCAGTGGAGAACTTTCAGAGGGAAAATTAGCAGGAGATAACTGATAACTGACATCCATCAAACATGGCACGTGGAATTAGAACAGTCTACCCCAGCGATCGATAAATAAAGGGTTCAGTTCGAAATTCCAACCACCTGAAGAAGGCCGGAGCGTACAACGGCCGAAACGTTGTGACAAATATGGCGACAAAGATGAGGACAATAGTCCGACTAATGTAAATACTGTATTGACCATTTATAATCAATTCACAAAAGACAATGTAAATGGTTAGAATCTTTCTTTATAGTACAAATCAATTGTGAACAATGTGAAGTGATGCATTAGATGATAGGTCAGTGGTTAATGCATTTAACTAAAACACAGAAGTTGTAAAATTTAAATCCAAGAAGAGTGCTCAGTTTCTTTAAATATACACTGGAAAATTGTTTTTTATAAAATATGATATTTAGTATTTGTTGTATTAGCAATGTGGATAATAGAAACAGAATTTAACTTATTGATTAAAATGTAGTCAATCGAATTTGGGTTGATCCCAACCTGGCACCTTAAGTCACCTTCTCATTGACATGACAGAGTTTCCCCTGTGCCTTTTTTCTTTTTGGAAAAAAAAAAAAAAAAATTTCATGGCAACTGTTCTGATGAACTTTTTTTCCTTACTACCCAAACTGCATAAATTTAAGCATGCTACTAGATTAGCAATTAGGTTTTACTGTTCAACTAGCTAGATACAACTATTCTCTCACTTCTTGCTTGTGGAACTCCCTTCTGATTTCTCACTTCCCTGCCACTTACAATCTTCAAGAATTTAAATATGTCAATCGCCATCTTCTGTCTTCCTGAATCCCGTTTCCTTATTGTCCTTTTCCTCACTTCTCATTAAAGTCTTCTCATTCTCTTTCATTCTTTGTAATCTCCCTATGTCTTAGTGGCATTATAGCCTTGCTTGGGGTGAAATGATAAAGAGAAAAAGAATAGTGGAATTAAGTAAAAATACTGGGCCAAGAGAACACTGGAGAGTTAGATGTCTGAGAGAATCAACACATATTCTAGGTGTTAAGGACCCCCTTAGTAGACCTAGCATAGAAATAAATATGAAATGAGAGTTGTTAATAAAAAGATGTGATAGTAAGACAGCAGCACTAAAAAGTGAAACCTCAGTGTGTGCAGTCAAGTCTGACAAGTAAGAGCAGCAGCACTCTTTAGTAGGTTAGGTTTAAGGCTTCACATTCTCCACTCATGAAACAATAGTAAATAAAGTGTTGGTTCATGAATTTGGTGACAGTATTTGCAAGTTCAATCCTTGGGCTAGGTGGCATGTACATGAACTCAGTAGAAATGGGATGAGTAATAACTGAGCAGTATTAAATAAGACATGAATAGCAGAATGAGAAAAATCTACACCTATAGATTAAATAAGTTCAATTTATCTGGATTGACATGCACCTGATGAAGGTTGTAGGAGGAAAACAGCTGAAACATTGTGATAAAAACAACAAAGATGGAGATGATAGTCCATGTATAAATAAATACTAAAAAAATATTAAATATATATATATATTAAAATATTTAAAAATTATTTTCTATTTCTAGCATTTTGTTTTAACTGTATCACTGATAGACTTGAAGCAGCATAAATATGGTTAAAGCTTTTATTTATTCATCATTAGCATACCTACACATTGCATTATTCAATTACGTACAGGATTCTCTTAATCCTAGTAATTAAATTAAGCTACAGTTTTCTGAACTTTTTTTGCATTGGCAACACTTTAAAAATAACATTTTTTGATATATTAAGTTTTGTTAGCCAAGCCAAGTATATAATTCAAATATATATAGATATACTAGCAGCATGGCCCGGGGTTGCCCGTGCTTGATCCAAAAATCATACGACTCATACAGCAATCGCTATCACTTGACTTATAATATTTTTGCCCTTCTTTGCCTTTAAAGGAGTGTCCTTTGCCATGCTGATGTTGCTACATGCCTTACTTCTTGCCTATCTCACACTGAATTTTTTCTAAGCTCTATACTAAACATTAAATCTGTTACGAAAAAAGAACTAAACAAAATGAACACAAAACGATCAGCTTTAAAAATTTAAAATTTTTCCCACTTGTGACGAATGCAGCTATTGATTTTTTTTGCATGCTAGTTAACATTCGTGTCAGTCAGCTGTTGGCTCTCACACTGGCCAGTACAAAATGGCCGCAAACTACATGAAAACTGCCGTAAAAGCATGAAAAAAAAAATCGATTATTTCCACTATCAATGGGAGTTGGGAAATGCAAAGTCTCTTGGCCTTCTTGCTAACTTTGAGCATGTGCATGTAAATTTTGGTGCAAATCCGTCGAAAATTGCGGCCGTACATTCGTTACACACACACACACCTTGTCTTTTATAGATAGAGATAAAAAAAGGAATAATTCACTTTAATAATTAAAGAAAGTCTTATCACACACTAATTTGGAAATCTCTGCCTTAAACTAGAAGACAAAGTGAAAAAAACAAAAAAAAAAAAAATCCATAAAACTTGAATATAATTGGACAAATTTAAACTTTTAAGTTTGCTTTCAAATTTTGCTTAGTTATTGGCTCTTGACAACTCAACATCCTATAATTTTTAATCTGTGAGAAAAACAGTTTCAACTGTTGCCTAAATTTAACTGATTAAAAGATTTATAAAAATTATATTTGTCTAAAAGTGTAAATTCCTCATATGATAAAAACCATTCAAAAGCAACATTAAAATACTTATTTAAGAGGCTGACAGTCTCTATGTTTAAAAACAAATGGGCAAAGAGACTATAGCAATTTCAACTGCAAAATTAGTGTAAACTATTGTGATGTGTCAATATATTGAACAAAATTAACTCATATGCAAATATAAATATTTTTTTGTTACTTTAGCAGCTGATGAAATACATTTAAGGTGAAGATATAAAATTGTTTGGAAAATAATATTCCCTAGTTATAAATATAAAAGTTTTTATTAAAATATACAACAAAAAGAAAATATCATAACTGGACATGTGAAATTTGTAAGATGCTTAAATCCAACTGATAATTTATATCCGGAACTGAAAAAGACAAACTGCTATTTTTATTAACATTTCTTCTTTCTTTGTTGTAAAAATTGACTCAAAATAAGTTATTCTTTTCTCTTACAGATAATTAAATGCAAATAAAAATTCAATACTTACTGCAATTTGTATTTCTCTCTTACATACAGATAAATCATGGTCATTGTTGACATACATTCGTTTGAGAGCATACTTGTTGCCATTCTGAGCACGAACCAAGAAGACAATAGCAAAGCCACCTGCAAAAAGAGGGAAAAGTTGAAATTAAATAATTATAGACTGAAATAAAGTTTTTTTTTTCCTTTGAATATAAATTTGAATATTTACAATTAATCATATTTCATAAACCAAATACATTCCAGTATGTATGTTATAAAGGTACATTTAAAATATTGCAATTAAACTTTTATTGTAATTGGCATGATCACATGGATAGGGTAAGTTACCTAATTTACATCAAGGCTTATAAAGTATCAAATATAGTTTTCTGGCACTTAATGTGGAACTAAATCTTTCTACTTTAAAGTGACTATATATATATATATATATAACAAAACTTTTTTATTTTATTTTAATGCTCTTTCCTGAAAAGAGCGATGTGAGAGAGGGTAGGAGAATTTGAAGCCACTTGGTCAAAATCAAATATTTAAAACAGAAAATGTCTGACCAATAAATAATAGCTGGTGCTTGTTGGAGCTGGTCAACTTTGGCACAAGACTGCATTTGAACTTCTGTCAAAGACCTCAATTACTTGTAACACCAAACTTATTTTAATAATAGCTTTAGTCCATCTTTTCCTTTTATCAAAACACCATCAATAAGCCCTTAGTGTTGTGAGAACAAATAACATATAATTGAAATGAAGCACATTCAGACAAGCTTCCAAATACTGCCATTTACACTTGTGACTTGAAGGGCTTTATCAATTGACATGATAAAAAATTCAAGATGTAGTAAAACTGAAAATAATGAAAATTCTTCATCTGAAAAGATTACTTGGGGAAAAAAGAAAAAAAGATGATATAGGGAAACAAAGAGAATGAAATGATTATAGATTTGCATTCTATTTCAATGGACAGAATCATTACAGTAATATCCATGCAAGATACATCCCAGAATTGTGGGATATGAGTTCAAGTTTCGTTAGAAGTTACTTCTTTATTTCTAATGACTTTTTTGTTGCATTGTGGCTAAAGAGCTTATCAATGCAGAATAATGTGATAAAAATTAGCAACAACAAAACAGAGTAAAGCTAATTATAAAATAACAGCAAAAAACTTCATTGGAACTTCTTAAATTAAAAAAATATTAAGAAAACATATGATAGTCATTGAAATTCTCATTTTGTCAAAGTTAAACAACCTGTTTGCTCTTTAGAGTGCTCTCTGGTGTACAAGAAGCTGGGCTAATGCAAGGTATTTTCAACTGTTAAAATAATGAAATCTGACCCAGATACAATGTATTTGGGAAATTTAGAAAATTAATCTATATATTTTAATAATGTTGTGCATAAAAACTGGCTAATCTATATACAAATTTGTATAATCTTGCTTAAAAGGTTTAATATTATAATTCAGTTTCAAAGAGGACTACAATATTCCTTACAAAATGATATTCTACTCTTCCATTTAATCTGTTGCGGTATGATAGTATGGTTGGGTAAATATTTAGTCATCATTATGTTGTGGGAATCAACACTTTGGATAGTAAATATTTATGGTCTCCTGGAAAATCTATCCCAAACAATATTGGCAGACTTAATGTGAGTCCAAGTAAAAATAAATACAAAACAATAAATATAAAACAAAAATGCATGTATTAATGCAAAGAATTACATGTGATGAAAGGAAAAAAAAAAATGAAACTAGCTAATAAGAATGTGTTTGTGTGTTTGCATGTATAACAAGTGTGTGTAAGAGAATACAAAAGTCAAGAGAAAAGCATAAAAATGAACATGCCCCAATGGGGAACACTTTACCCACATATAACTACATCTTAAGGTCAGAGCTAAAAAGCTGTAAAAGAAGCTAGGGAAAGAAATGCATGCCTTTGTATAGGCTTAAGGGGCACCCTCTAGTAACATTTTTTTTTTTTTTAAAAGCGAAGTCAAGTGGGATAAGCCACAAATCATTAACTTTCACATTTTTGAATGTCCTGACTTTGGAAAAGTCAACATCAACTTCTCAGCAATGAAAAATTTATTATGGCAAATTGATCTGAAACTACTTAAAAGATATGCCCCAAGTTTTATTGTTACTGAATGAAACAAAAGTTTTTTTTCTTCTGTCCTAATGGAATTATTAATAGATCCATGAATAATAAGATCTATTCTGGCAGTCAAAGTTAATGCATTTCATAGGAATATGGTGAGACTTATACAGTTCAATATTTGCAAAGAAAAACATTCCCTTGTAGAGGAATACTGACAGTAATGTATGAAGTGACATTGGTTGCATGGTGATTCCATTTGAATATCACTGATTTCAAAAGTGACACGATTGGAAAAGGAAACTATTTGGACATGGTTTAGAATTGGATTTTGTTTTTCATAACAATCACAGTCAACTATCTAACCAACATAGCAGAAGGTATAAAATTTCAGACTGACAGCTCTATACTATGGATGAATATAAATGCATGTCAGATGATTTCAGTGACAGGATAGTAAATTAATGTAAAGGCAGGCATTGTGAAATTATTCAAAGAAATGAGGAAGGCTAAAGAACTGAATTTTGGCAGTAAACAGCAGATAAATACAGCTGAAGCTAGTTCATCATAGCTCCAGTTAGCATAACTATCTTTCAAGCAAAAATTAATTTCTTTATATAAACATTATGTGGTGTTAAGCAAAGTTGTAAGTATTCCTTTGTATTGTGAAAAATAGCAAAAACAAAGAGGAAACCTATGACAGTTATAGAAATAGGAGTGCTAGGCTAAAAGGTATTCATAGTCTGGATTAATAGTATGAAATGAAATTTTAATTCACAGAAAATAACAGAACAAAATACATCATAGAATATCAACTATGTCAACAACACACAAATTTTAACAAATGCCAGATGATTGAATTCCTTTTAAAATTTCAAATAGGTTTTCAAAAATATAACCCAAGTATTATATGTACATTAGAAAAACAAAACAAAAAAAACTACAACAGCTCAGCAAAGCCACAAGGTCACAAAATTAAAGGTACACACTCAGTGTTCTCAAATTTCAGAAGTGGTGGAGGAGAATGCAGGAAGTTAATAATAATGGTGATTACAGGGTTGAAAATAAATTAGTTGATTCAGCTACCTACTTCTACAGTAACTTTAGTCATTCTATCCCTTAGTTTGGATTGAAAACAATGGATTGTTTTCATGCAATAAGGACAAGTAAACACTGAATAATAGTGTTCAATCAAAACTTCACAATATACAGCTCCAAGAAATGTTGAAGCTAACACTGGGGAAAGTAGTTACTGGGAAACAAATAATTTAACCAAGGTATTATTAAAGAAAACCTTATAAAATTTGATAAATAGTTCTAAAGAAAAAAAGAAGTAATTATGAATAAATAGCCTTGCAAAATTCAAGCCCTTTTGAAAAAATTTATATATTCTATTACAAGTATACCATCTTAAACTTTGAGATGAAAAGTTTTTCAGATTTTTTTTTTAATTTCACAATGGTAGTACAGGGGTAAAAATTCCTTAATTCTCTATCCTACTTATTATTATGGATATGTTGGATAGTCAAGTCAATTGTTACCCATATGTAGATTGACCACTCTTGACCTTTTCTGCTTTCAAAACATCTGAAAAACAGAGGTACAGCTGGCTAGTAGGATTATCATGACAACTTGAAACAAAACTTCTATACCCTATGAATCCTGGTAGAGTGCAGAGAAAAAAAAAAACAGAGACATTGGTTACATCCGGTCATGTTTGGTGTCAAATTTCAACAGACATGCAGAAAACATGTATAGAAAAAGGGTTGCTGTTTGGATTTGTTAAATTCTCAGAATTTTGGATAAATGATTGTCTATATGAATTCTTTATCTCATTTTTTCAAAATGTAATATTTCCCATTACAAATCATTTTTCTTACATATGTAATTTTTATTCTCAAAGGTTACTCAAACAGACTAATTGTATTGCTACATTTCAGCTGATCCATTCTACAGAGTTTTTCTGGTGTACAATCCATAAGGAAAGAGTTAACAGGATGGAGAGCAGAAGCTTGGTTCATTCACAACAATTCAAACCACACAGACAATATCATTCATAGCCACCTGTGCAACACACATTTGAATTTATACAAAGGATTCTGTCCAATGTTCTTGCTGAACAAAGAAAATGATACTGAAGTTAAAATATAACTTGTTTTCCTGATGAAATTTCAAAATAGTCATGTATTAAAAAGCAGTCAGTGAATATTTCAGAATCAAAATTACTCCAATTATTTGAGGTGGTATCTACTAGGTAGATAAAAGTAAAATTAAAGAAATCAAAACCTAAAAATTGTCAGCTTTGTTCAGTTTTTGTTTTTTTAATTTCACTTTTTATAGAGAAAAATATTGCTTAAATAATTGAAGAGGTAAACAATTCCCAATTTTTCCTATACCACGGGTGGCCAAACTATGGCTTGTGAGTTACATGTGGCTCTTTGACCTTGAATATGTGGCTAGTGGAAATATGTTGGCCGAGCTCCTTTTTTCCATCACAGTTAATCTTTTATATTAACTATTATAGTAAATAAGAAAAATTTCAAGTTTTATAATTATTTACTAGGTATGAACTGAGACTCTGTTGGATTAAAACAAGTTTATGGTTAGTAAAAATACTTAATTTAAATCCTAATTTCATGTCTTGCAGCTCTCAAACATCTGAACTTTGTCAAATGCAGCTCTTAAATTAAGCAAGTTTGGCCAACAGTGTCCTATACTGTAATATTTTGTATCCCTCCCTCAAATAAAAGCAAAAAATAGAGAAGTTCTTTTTTCTGGGAACAATTTTTTGATACTCAAAAGGTAATGAAAAATACTTTAGCTTTCCAGTGCTGCCCTGTATCAAATTTTGTTCTCCATATATAAATGAAGCCTGACACTCATTTAGTCACAATTTTGAGTTGTTCCTATTAAATAGTAAAAGTTTTATATAGCCATCCCTTTTTTTCTGCCCTTTTCTTCAAAATCTC